ATCATTTAATGTGCCGCATACCTTCACATTGGAATTTGTCATCTCATTTAATGAGTCAGCTGATTTAAAATTTCTAATAATTTAAAACAAATGAGGTGGCAGACAAAGCATTTAATGCGCCACTTACCTTCACATTGGAATTGGTCTATCTAATGAGTTAGCTGATTTAAAATTTTGAATTTTGAAATATAATACCTCACCTATTTTAATGACTCAGCTATTTTTACATTGGAATTATTAAATATTTAAAATATTTTAAAATACGAAAAAAAACGGAAAATTAATTTTTTATTCAATTAATTTTTTCGATTTTTGTTTTAAAAATCGAAAATCAATTTTAGTTTCTAATAATTTAAAACAAATGTGGTGGCAGACAAATCATTTAATGCGTCGCATACCTTCACGTTGGAATTGGTCATCTCATTTAATGAGTCAGCTGATTTAAAATTTCTAATAATTTAAAACAAATGAGGTGGAAGACAAAACATTTAATGCGCCACTTACCTTCACATTGGAATTGGTCATCTCATCTAATGAGTCAGCTGATTTAAAATTTTGAATTTTGAAATGGAATCACTCACCTGTTTTAATGACTCAGCTGTTTTTACATTGGAATTATTAAATATTTTAAAATACAAAAAAAAACGGACAATTAATTTTTTATTCAATTAATTTTTTCGATTTTTCTTTTAAAAGTCAAAAATCAATTTTAATTTCTAATAATTTAAAACAAATGTGGTTGCAGACAAAGCATTTAATGCGCCACTTACCTTCACATTGAAATCGGTCATCTCATTTACTGAGTCAGCTGATTTAAATTTTTTAATAATTTAAAACAAATGAGGTGTCAGACAAAACATTTAATGCGCCACTTACCTTCACATTTGAATTTTGAATTTTGAAATGGAATCACTCACCTGTTCTAATGACTCAGCTGTTTTTACATTGGAATTATTAAATATTTTAAATATTATAAATTAATTTTTTATTCAATTACTTTTAATTTTTTTTTTTGCAAACTTTGGTAAAAATGAAGAAGCGAAGTTGATATCAAAATATTAAAAAACAAATTTTAAGGCCTTGGTACACTGTCAAAGTTCAAAACATGATAATAGGCCACAGAATAAGGAAAATGTCAATAGCTCCTCGTTACAAAAAATCGACCAATCTATCGCTTTTATTGGCATTTATTAATTTGTTTAAAAATTTAAAAGTCCAACACACTAATTCGAAATTCAGGGGAGCATTAAAAATAACTTCAAACGAAACGTTTAATGCGCCACTTACCTTCACATTGGATTGGTCATCTCATCTAATGAGTCAGCTGATTTAAAATTTTGAATTTTGAAATGGAATCACTCACCTGTTTTAATGACTCAGCTGTTTTTACATTGGAATTATTAAATATTTTAAAATACAAAAAAAAACGGACAATTAATTTTTTATTCAATTAATTTTTTCGATTTTTCTTTTAAAAGTCAAAAATCAATTTTAATTTCTAATAATTTAAAACAAATGTGGTTGCAGACAAAGCATTTAATGCGCCACTTACCTTCACATTGAAATCGGTCATCTCATTTACTGAGTCAGCTGATTTAAATTTTTTAATAATTTAAAACAAATGAGGTGTCAGACAAAACATTTAATGCGCCACTTACCTTCACATTTGAATTTTGAATTTTGAAATGGAATCACTCACCTGTTCTAATGACTCAGCTGTTTTTACATTGGAATTATTAAATATTTTAAATATTATAAATTAATTTTTTATTCAATTACTTTTAATTTTTTTTTTTGCAAACTTTGGTAAAAATGAAGAAGCGAAGTTGATATCAAAATATTAAAAAACAAATTTTAAGGCCTTGGTACACTGTCAAAGTTCAAAACATGATAATAGGCCACAGAATAAGGAAAATGTCAATAGCTCCTCGTTACAAAAAATCGACCAATCTATCGCTTTTATTGGCATTTATTAATTTGTTTAAAAATTTAAAAGTCCAACACACTAATTCGAAATTCAGGGGAGCATTAAAAATAACTTCAAACGAAACGTTTAATGCGCCACTTACCTTCACATTGGAATTGGTCATCTCATCTAATGAGTCAGCTGATTTAAAATTTTGAATTTTGAAATGGAATCACTCACCTGTTTTAATGATTCAGCTATTTTTACATTGAAATTATTAATTGTTTTAAATATTTTAAAATACGAAAAAAACGAAAAATTAATTTTTTATTCAATTAAGTTGTGGTGTACAATTTTGAATTTTGAAATGGAATTACTCACCTGTTTTAATGACTCAGCTGTTTTTACATTGGAATTATTAAATATTTTAGATATTTTAAAATACGAAAAAAAAACGGAAAATTAATTTTGTACTCAATTAATTTTTTCGATTTTTCTTTTAAAAATCGAAATTCAATTTTAATTTCTAATAATTTAAAACAAATATGGTGGCAGACAAAACATTTAATGCGCCACTTACCTTCACATTGGAATTGGTCATCTCATTTAATGAGTGAGCTGATTTAAAATTTTGAATTTATAAATATAATCACTCACCTATTTTAATGACTCAGCTATTTTTACATTGGAATTATTAAATATTTTAAATATTTTAAAATACAAAAAAAAAATGGAAAATTAATTTTTTATTCAATTAATTTTTTCGATTTTTCTTTTAAAAATCAAAAATAAATTTTAATTTCTAATAATTTAAAACAAATATGGTGGCAGACAAATCATTTAATGTGCCGCATACCTTCACATTGGAATTTGTCATCTCATTTAATGAGTCAGCTGATTTAAAATTTCTAATAATTTAAAACAAATGAGGTGGCAGACAAAGCATTTAATGCGCCACTTACCTTCACATTGGAATTGGTCTATCTAATGAGTTAGCTGATTTAAAATTTTGAATTTTGAAATATAATACCTCACCTATTTTAATGACTCAGCTATTTTTACATTGGAATTATTAAATATTTAAAATATTTTAAAATACGAAAAAAAACGGAAAATTAATTTTTTATTCAATTAATTTTTTCGATTTTTGTTTTAAAAATCGAAAATCAATTTTAGTTTCTAATAATTTAAAACAAATGTGGTGGCAGACAAATCATTTAATGCGCCGCATACCTTCACATTGGAATTGGTCATCTCATCTAATGAGTCAGCTGATTTAAAATTTTGAATTTTGAAATGGAATCACTCACCTGTTTTAATGACTCAGCTGTTTTTACATTGGAATTATTAAATATTTTAAAATACAAAAAAAAACGGACAATTAATTTTTTATTCAATTAATTTTTTCGATTTTTCTTTTAAAAGTCAAAAATCAATTTTAATTTCTAATAATTTAAAACAAATGTGGTGGCTGACAAAGCATTTAATGCGCCACTTACCTTCATATTGGATTTGGTCATCTCATTTAATGAGTCAGCTGATTTAAATTTTTTAATAATTTAAAACAAATGAGGTGTCAGAATTTACCTTCACATTTGAATTTTGAATTTTGAAATGGAATCACTCACCTGTTCTAATGACTCAGCTGTTTTTACATTGGAATTATTAAATATTTTAAATATTATAAATTAATTTTTTATTCAATTACTTTTAATTTTTTTTTTTTGCAAACTTTGGTAAAAATGAAGAAGCGAAGTTGATATCAAAATATTAAAAAACAAATTTTAAGGCCTTGGTACATGTCAAAGTTCAAAACATTAATAGGCCACAGAATAAGGAAAATGTCAATAGCGCCACTTACCTTCACATTGCAATTGGTCATCAAAATCATTTAATGAAAGTCAACTGATTTAAATATTTCTAAAAAAATAATTTAAGACAAATGTCAGGTGGTAAAATTTAAACAAAAATGACAAAACATTTAATGCGCCTTTACTTAGTCAGAACTTAACTATTTCTCCAATTGGTTTTTTTTAATGAGTCAGACTGAACATTTAAAATTATTTTTATCTAACAACATCACCTGTTTTAAGAACGGTGACAACAAAGTTTAATCACAGGTTTAATTTTTAACATTGGAGTTACCGCTTAATATAAGGATGGCATTTTTCCAATTATGTCAATTCACCACAGCTTTTCCTGAAATAATATTATCATATTGAAAATATTTTTTATAAATTAATTTTTTATTCAAAATGATTAACTGATGCAAACTTTGGCCACATTATTGCGATTGGCTCATTGTAAGTTTTTTAAGTTGATATCCATAAGTAATGCAAGTAGTAGCATCTATGCAATTCTTAATATCAGTAAGAAATTTCCTCTCTGTATCCTTGAGAAAATCATTTTCATAAGAATATGAAGATGGGCTTGACAACTGAGTCAACATCTGACTACTTTCCATCAGATCACCGGAAAGCCTGGAATATAAAAATATATAAAAGAATGAGTGAATAGAGCAAAAGAAATGCCTCATAATTTCTAACGGTAGCCCACCTTTTTTTGAACTCTACAATCTCAGGTATATTGAAATCAAAAAGAATTTTCGTCGTATACTTTGTATTAGCTATTCCAATCTTTCCTGGAAAAAAAATGCTACGTAAATAAAAGAAAAAGTAAAACAGCAAAACAAAAAAATAAAAAATGAGAATTTTAATCATAAAAGAAAGTACCCCTAAAACCCTTTATCCTTGCAAGCTGAAGTATTATAACATTTTGAGCACTCTGATTCTTTGCTAAGAAAGTTTGGACCTCGTCTACGTATGACTCCCACAAAGTGCATTCAAGTTTCTGACCCCTATCATAATATAGAAACAAAAGACACATAAGAAATGATGCAAAATCTCATTCTCTTTAAATTCAAAAACACATAAGAAATTACATTACAATACTATCAGAAATATAGATAACATAAATACCTCAGGTTGTCAAGCTCCACGACAACCATTTTTGTATTCCTACCAGAGATGACATGTTCACGTACTTCCCCAATTCCAGACAGCAAACCAATGACGTCTACACAACAAATAACAAGGGTTTCAGCCTTACGTCCTATATACAAAATCTTAATTGAAAGCGAATAACACAATACACCAATCCCATCACCTATTAAATAAGGAGAGTCAGAGGATTCTTTCTCAATAACGTCAAATTCAGCAAAATCAAAACCACGCTCAGGAATCGTAGCATCAACAATGGATTTCACGTCCGTCCTCAAGTTGAAAGACAGAAGATATTCATGCCGTGTTGGCATGAAATTACCAGAATTCAACCCAACTCCAAATTTTTTATAAAATAAGCATCACCCTCACGAATTTTCTTCCGAACCTGCAAAGTACCCTTGGTTGTAGCATGGATCCTTCCACCCTATAAAATGAAAACACGCAACAAAGGAAAAAAAAAACGACAATGAGCTACTGAAAAGATAAAAACATTGAAAAAAAGAAAAAATACATTACCCGTTCTCCGACCAAAACCATATCCACATTGTCATCAAAATCTTTTTGATTAAAACTGGGAACCTTCCAACACCTAACTACACGCACTTTAGTCCTTCACTCTTCTTTCGTCGGATTAAGATCCTTTACAAAGTCGTATTTTGAGGACATTGAATACATTGGAGGAGTAGAGAAATGGACCAAAGAAGATACAAAATGCTCGTGGCAGTGATGCAGACCAAATGGCAAAAGCAACACCATATATCGTCTTTATACATGCAATGAATACATAGAAAATTTCAAAACATTTTAACCATTATGATCTTAATTAACTCCCAAAAATACCTAATGAGTCAGCTGATTTAAAATTTTGAATTTTGAAATGAAATCACTCACCTGTTTTAATGATTCAGCTATTTTTACATTAAAAGAAAGAATCCTCTAGTGTGAACAGAAATTCAAACATACATATTTTGTTCACTATATCGAAAAGAAGTAAGTTTTCAAGACATCATCTAGTGTGAACAGAAAGCTGAGATTTAAGGAGAATGCGACACCTCAGCTAATTTTTAAAAGTTTTTTTTTACATTAAAACGGAAAGAATCCTCTAGTGTGAACAGAAATTCAAACATACATATTTTGTTCACTATATCGAAAATAAGTAAGTTTTCAAGACATCCTCTAGTGTGAACAGAAAGCTGATATTTAAGGAGAATACGACACCTCAGCTAATTTTTAAAAGTTTGGTTCTCCTTTCTATATAGTAAGATAGTACTTCAGTAGGAATTTGAGTTTTTTGTGTAGGCATTCTTTTGTTTAGTATGTTCTTTTTTAGATGCTTTTTTTCTGTAAAATATTTTATTACAACTAAATTGACGGTGTTATAATTAGAAAATGTGATAATAACTATTTTTAAAATCTTTATAAGTGTAAGAAATGATTTTATTTAAATAAAAAAACTATAGATACTAAATTAAAAATGAATGAACACTATCAATCCTAAGGTTTTAATTTAACCAGTGAATAATCAACTCTCCAATTTCTTTCTACCCAAACTCTTCCCATTCAAGCATACTCTCAAGTGTGATCCGGTTGATAATTTGAACTTCATATGTGAGCAAATTTTGAGAGCATTTTGTAACTAGGGTTACGTCATCAGAAGCTAAGTGAAGATTAATTCCACTGAAAATAAACTACATATCTTTTTTCTTTGCCTTCACAGGTAAAGTTAACTTACTTGCTAATTCCACTTTAACCAAATATTATTGTGTAATATATATCGTTATTGAATGATAATTAATTTAGGTAGTCCTTCTCGGAAAGATTTAATGTCTTATTGGGTGGAGTTAATTTTTTTTTTCTGGGTATAATAGCTGGAGTTAGACATTTTACACTAACCGTCTATTTTTCACGTATTTACAAAAAGATTATTCCATAATAATAATAATATAAAGGGTTCATTTTTTTGCAGTTATGGCAGATAAGTTATTTACAGTAAGTCTAATACGATGTTATTTTGGGATGGAAATCATGGTGTTTTTATAATTTTAATTAATTTCAGAATTATTATAGTCTTTATAATTATAATTTTTTCATCTTCAATTTTAAAATAACTTTATTTTAAAAATAAATGCAAATAACTTATTTGCTGAGAAATATTTTTCTTGTAAGATAAAATACAAGATTATCGCATTTTCTTGGTAAGCGGACTGCTTTCCGTCAGGATAGCTATCTCTTATTTGGGATATGTCTCCTGCTGGGTCAAGGCATGGGCTTAATTTGTTAGGACTCAATGTTTTTTTTTTTTTTTTTTTAGGATTTATTTTTTCGAAAGTTAGAGAAGTTATTTACATTGAGTCCAAAACGAGAAACGATATCGTTTTGGGATAAAAATTAAAATATTTTTATAATTATAATTTATTTTAGAGTTATAATAATCTTTTTTATTATAATTTTTCAATCCAAAACGACGTTTGGATGTGAATGTAGATAACTTATCCACATAACATTAAATTTATTTTTTTTATGTACAGAAAAAATACAAGAATAAATTCAATTATGTGCAAGTGATTATTACATTTCAAAATGAAAACAATAATCAAATCCAGGTATTAATTGTAATAATTAACGTGAAAAAAAAAATTAACATATGCAATTTTATACATAAGCTTTTATAGCTCAAAATCTGGTTTAACCTAGGAGTTGTTGGTCTACTTCGGTTTTTGTATGAGGATTTGATTTGCTGAAAGGATTTTGAATTTGATTTGCAACTTTTGATTTGACCCGCTGAAAAGATAGTAGATTTCATTGGCAATTCCTATAAAATGTGAAAATGTTCAAATCTTCAACTGGATTACTTGGGCCTATTAGAATTTCGGATGAAACATAAATGATAAAATATTTAGGTTGAATAATTTGGAAAAACATTTGTCAATGAAGTCGTAGTCACTTAAATTGATTAAGCAATGAAGTAACAGTTCAAGTGATCCGAATGGACTGTGCATGGGAAATTCTCTCTGATATAATTCGTTTTAATTAATTGCGTTAAGATGCTTGGAGTTAGATTCACATTGTGTATTTAAGGGCACTGCGGGGAGCTTCCATTCCACACAGCACACAGCACACATCAAGCTAAGGCTTGAGCTAGCTCGCCATGGCTTCCACCATGAAGTTTATGCTTTTCTCTGTGCTCTCCCTCATCTCCTTCCAAGCAGTGGTCTCGATTGCCCCACTACAATTTCAACATCCACTAGACCCGTTAACCAAAGAAGAGATAACTCTTGTTCAAACCATAGTCCTTAAGACGTACCCTACCTCAAAGAACAGGCTTGCCTTCCATTATATTGGCCTAGATGACCCTGACAAAGCTGCAGTCCTCAAATGGCAATCACTCAAACCAACTCTTATAACAATCCCTCGCAAAGCCTTCGTCATTGCCATGATCAATAGCCAGAGCCACGAGATCTTAATTGATCTAAAGGCAAGGCGTATTCTCTCTGACAATGTTCACAGTGGACATGGTTTCCCTACCTTATCCATTGAAGAACAAAGCGCTGTCATAGAGCTGCCACCGAAATATGGTCCGTTCATTGAGTCAGTGAAGAAGAGAGGCCTGAACATGTCTGAGGTGGTATGTTCTGCTTTCACCATGGGGTGGTTTGGAGAAGCCAGCAGAAGGACCGTTAGGGTCGACTGCTTCATGAAAGAAAGCTCTCCCAATATATGGGTGAGACCTATTACTGGAATCACAATTGTAGCTGATCTTGACAACATGAAGATTGTTGAGTACGGTGACAGAGGCGTTGAACCAGTGCCAACGGCCGAGAATACTGAATACAGGGCTTCATTTCTGAAGCCACCGTTCGGTCCAAAACAGCATAGTATGGCCACCCACCAACCACAAGGTCCAGGCTTCCAGATCAACGGTCATAGTGTTAGGTAATAAGATAGATTATATGATTTTGTTCTATTTATTATTTATTACTGCGTAAGCCATGGTTTGAGATTAACCTATATATTATATATCTCAGCTGGGCCAACTGGAAGTTCCATATAGGATTTGATGTGAGAGCTGGTGCTATAATTTCACTGGCATCAATTTACGATCTGGAGAAGCACAAGTCTCGTCGAGTATTATACAGAGGATACATTTCGGAGTTGTTCGTGCCATACCAAGACCCAACAGAGGAATTTTACTTCAAGACATTCTTTGATGCTGGAGAGTTTGGGTTTGGTCTCTCTACAGTCTCTTTGGAGCCCAACCGCGATTGCCCACCTAATGCACAGTTCATAGATACATATATTCACACAGGTGATGGCAGCCCCAGCCTATTGAAGAACGCTGTCTGTGTATTTGAACAATATGGCGATATCATGTGGCGCCACACAGAAACAGGCATTCCTAATGAACCGGTAAAGTAAAAATCCTTACTACTTACTTATTGAATTAATCTAGCTAGTAACTATATGTCTCTTCTTCTTTTTTCACCTCACGTGTTTTTTTTTTTTTTTTAAACCATTTTATTGTAATTTTTTGACGGAAATAAACGTTATACAAATTGACTTTTGACAGTTCGTGGAGTCTAGAACTGAAGTAAACTTAATAGTAAGATCGGTGGTCACTGTAGGCAACTACGACAATATTATAGATTGGGAGTTCAAAGCAAGTGGCTCGATCAAGCCTGCGGTACGTGTCATTTCACTTTTCATTTGTTTAGATGTTTGCAACTATTTTTATTATTTGTTTTATACGCATATATATATATATATATATATATATATATATAGAGGCAGGATCCTTTGACACCAGTGTCAAATTTAAAGTTTGACACCTCATCTGAGAGCCGTTAGATCAAAAAAGATCAACGACTCTGATTTGTAAGCATGTGACACAAGTTACACTGGTGTAAAATGATCCTAACCCATATATATATATATATATATATATATATACTTTGTCTAAACTCTAATTGCTAGCCTTCTTCAATATATATTTATATATAGATAGCACTGTCTGGTATACTGGAAATTAAGGGAGCGGATATTAAGCACAAGAATGAGATTAAGGAAGAACAACATGGTAGTTTGGTGTCAGCAAACAGCATTGGCATTTACCATGACCACTTCTACATATACCATCTTGACCTTGACATTGATGGAGTAGAAAACTCCTTCGAGAAGACCACTTTGAAGACAGTAAGAGTGACGGATGGAAGTTCAAAGAGAAAGAGCTATTGGACAACTGAGTCTGAATTTGCTAAGACCGAATCTGATGCAAAGATTATAATTGGGGAAACCCCATCTGAGCTTGCAATTGTGAATCCTAACAAGCAGACCTCTGTTGGAAATGATGTCGGATACCGTTTGATTCCAGCACTGCCAGCTCATCCCCTTCTAACGGAGGATGACTACCCTCAAATCCGTGGTGCATTTTCCAATTATAATGTGTGGGTTACTCCTTATAATAGGACTGAGAAGTGGGCTGGTGGACTCTATGTTGATCACAGCAATGGAGAAGATACTTTAGCTGTTTGGACCAAAAAGTATGGTAAAATCATTTTTATTTTTATTTTTATTACCGATTAACTTTTAAATTTTATTTGAAAAACTTTTTGGTGTTGATATGATATTATATGATTGATTGATCTGAACAACTAATTACAGTATTTGTTTGAATTGAAAATAATTGAAGGAACAGAGACATTGTGAACAAGGACATTGTGATGTGGCACGTAGTGGGAATTCATCACGTTCCATACCAGGAAGACTTCCCCATGATGCCATTGTTGAAAACTGGATTTGAGCTGAGGCCAACCAATTTCTTCGAGAGGAATCCGGTTCTTAGGACCCTTTCTCCATACGATGTTACATGGCCGGGTTGCCACAAGTAAAACTATATAATATAGCCCATGTTGCTGATTTGCTTTAGCGTGCTGCAAGCTAGTGTAACAGGAGTGTTGGGAAAGTCTAGAATGTTGTTTGTTTATTTATTGTGGGAGAATAATGTTTTGCCAGCAACTATTTCTATTTGAATAAGCGTTTTACTTGCGAGCTTTAGGGAAAGTCTAAAATGTTGTTCTTTGTGGGAGAATAATGTATTGCCAGCAACTTTTAAATAGATTGAACTATTGATATATCATATAATGTTGTGAGTATTAATATATATACATGGATTGTAAAGAACCTTGGGATATATTATCCAAAAAATTAGCTCAAAGGGTGGAATTATATATATCAACACGCTTCCTCTGAGCTGCTCCACAAGAGAAAGTGGGGGACAGTGAGGCTCTGATATCATGTAAAGAACCTTGGATACACCACTCTAAAAGCTAACTCAAAGGGTAGGAGTGTCCAAGGCCTTATAAACTCCACATTAGTTGCACATACAACCAATATGAGACTATATATATCAACATGGATAATTATCAATTCATTTGACAAGAAACATAAGAATATATATTGGTACAATGTATACATAAATTTAATGCTAACGTTGCTGTGATACTATATTCTTGTATATTCAACTCTTTAGAAGCATACAGATGATGTGTTTATATAATACTCTTCCAGAAAAATCTGAACAAATTCTAGTAGGTAAAAAGCATGATTTTGAACAACAGTTCGGCCAAAATTTCAATTCCATCATCCCTACGTGTTTTATTTATTATCTTACATCATAAGTATAATATAAAAGAAATATAATTATATATTACCACGTATGACCAAAAAAAAAAAAACTATATATTGCCATTAACCAACACGGCCATACGAAACTTACAGACTATAATATATAACGTAAATTGATTATCTTTGTGTGTGTGTGTGTTGTGGAAGTTTTATTGTTTAGAAACATGTTTTGAGTAGATAATTCTTTGTGCTTAACAGCAATAAAATATTATGTTAGGTATTCAATATAATCAGATACTACACACTAGTCAAACGCGTGTTATTTTTTAATAGTTACTCAAAACAAAAAAAATTAGACACTTGGAAGGTCCCTAAGGCATTAATCAAACAATTACCTTTTTAGACACTTGGAAGGTCCCTAAGGCATTAATCAAACAATTACCTTTTCTAGGCAGATTGTCATCTTTATGAATATATTGACTAGGTCTAGGATCTATCCTCACGTTATTCATGCTGGAAATCCTATTCGCTGTCATTCACGTGTCTATTTAACGAAGTGTGCGGAAAATTTACATATGATTTCAAAGAATTCAATCACCCAATGAAATCCATGGGCATTTGGTCTAGTGGTATGATTCTCGCTTTGGGTGCGAGAGGTCCCGAGTTCGATTCTCGGAATGCCCCTTCTGAATGAAGCATTTTGTATAAACAAAATAAATTGACATTAATCATTTTCACTCGCAAACAAAATAAACGAAACAACTTTATCCGTGAAGTAAATAAAACAAGATATATGTAAAAAAAGAAAAAGAAATAAAGATTAAATATAATTATTTTCACTCGCAAACGAAATAAAAGAAGTTACAATTCTTTTATACAAAAAAAAAAACAAAAGTTACAATTCTGCAGTCAATAATATGCCACCCGCTGAAGCTGAAACTCATACTCTTGCAATTCTCTGCGGAATAACTTCTGAAACCCCAACATGGATAACACTCGTGCATAACAGTTGTGTTGCGCTTACAATTATCGTGATTATTTCTAAGGTACGCTGGAAAAAAAAAAGGGGGAAAATAATGAATATTTACTTTATGATCCAATATGCAGCTAACTAGTCTGTCTCTTTATTGTTTTTTGGAATTAATAAGTACATGCTTGTTAGAAACCATAATGTGGTGCTCGAAATATAAAACTGAACTTGTGACACACCATTTTTTTCAACTGTCAAATAACAGTTGAGCAATCAATTATTGTAGATGTTGGTCGCTTTCTTATAATTGAAATACCAGCATTCAATCAGAAGCTTACCAGGTTTGAGTCTGTCCAGCCAAGTTCAATCTCTTTGCATGCAAATCTGCAAGAAAAGCAGCAATACCCATATAGAATTTATTCTGTCTAGTTACAGTACTCATGGGAATGGTAGAAATTTGATACAATAAAAAGATGAAAGGAAAATGGGGAATAAGGCAAAGGCTCACCCCATGGCTAGTAGAGTGAGTGCCCATGTTGTAAATGAAGACATGGCTGCTGCATGTAAGTTGGGAGCATTCCATTGGAAAATGTTATAAAATCCAGTGAGTGAGGTGGTGAACCCCACAACACCAGCAATAAGAGAGAAAATTATGAAGAAACCAGTTGCCAAGTTTCCCATTGGGAAGTATATTGGAAATATGCGAGCAGGAATGGACAAAACAGATGCTGCAAATGCACAGAGCCAAGTCAATTAACTAATTAACCGTATATTTGATTAATGTTGAAAAGAACAAAAAAAAAAAAAAAAAAAAATTCAGCTGATAAAGCACTCCAATTAATTACCTGTTTCGCGTGACATTTGAATCCCATGGTTCACTGCCCAGGAAGCAATTACAAGCACAATGAAGTACAACACTAGATTCAGTGCCAAAAGGATGGAAGCTACCGATTTGGATCCTTCAGAAGCCATGGCCTTTGAAACCCAAACACCAAAAAATTAAAGCAAAACCTGAACTTATTGGTTGTCCTTCTTGGGCTTAGGAGTTCGACATATATATAAGCCTAGACTTATTCCTCACAGTATATTTTCAGAAAATTACTAGGAAAGGTAGTCCAGCTATATGGTTCTTCTTTGCTGTCACCACTCACCATTGAAAAGAACTTTCTTCAACACAAAGAAATGGCTTCTATTCTTTGATCATTTTTTGGTTTTCCTCGTAAGGGGGAAAGGAATTCCCCCCCTCCCCCCATATATTATCATATCCCCATGAGCATAATTAGTTTGCAGCATAAAAAGGGAAAGAACTTTGTCCATTTACATCATTAAGCATCAGAGCGTTGCTTTTTTATTTCTGCGATCATCCCACTTCTAGAATAGATCATACTTAAAGGATCAAAGTAATCCATGTTTTTCATACTGTATGAGGAAATTTTATTAAATTATGCTATCATAACAGTCTACAATGTTGAGATATATAGTCCCACATTTATTTATTGTATGAGCAACTAATCTCACCCTTTGAGCTAAGCTAGCTTTTGGGGTGGTGTATCCCAAGGTTCTTTACATGGTATCAGAGCCTCGCCGCCCCTCACTTTTTCTTGTGACGTTTCTTAGCACAAGTAGGTTAGGCCTGTTGCATTGTCCACTCTTCAAGCCCAATGGGCTCTTGTATGAGGGGGCGTGTTGAGATATATAGTCCCACATTAGTCGTATAAACAACTAATGTAGAGTTTACAAGGCCTTGGACACTCCCACCCTTTGAGCTAGCTTTTGGGGTGGTGTATCCCAAAGTTCTTTACATACAAGATAAACATTGCATAAAATCAGATTGCATGCACGGAACTAACATACAAATATAATCGTCCAAGAAAATGTGCAAGGATGCTTGGCTAGTAAACCAAATGTTTTGTATAACCAACTTAGAGGAGAGTATCATTGACCATGAAGTAAATTTTAGGTTCAGACTTACATCAACATTTTTCCATTATCAAACTTTCGTCTTTAATCAGATCATTTTTCTTCTCTCAATCACTATAGTATGTTAGTGACCTATCTTTCATTGCTACTAAAGGTTGTCCTGGTAGCAGATTTCGATTTCTCCTAAACGCAATACCTGGGTAAATTAATACTTGACATGGCAACAAAAAGTAAAAATAGGAAAAATAACTGACATAGAAAGAAATCATGATCATCATTTTTTATTTTATTTTTGGTAAACATGATCATCATTCTTTATTATATGCTCCTGCTCGCATTTAACTAATAGGAGAATGATCCATTTACAATTTTTTTTTACAAATTACACTAACTATCCAGTCAGACATAATGTAATTTGTAAGAGTTTGTAAAAAAAAAAAAAAGTGTGTAAATATGATCTTCCCCTTACTAATACCCACAAATTGTGGAAATTTAAAATATGTCAGGTTTTATCCTATATAATATCAAAAAAAAATTATATATATCGTGTTAAACTTGAAGTTCAATTTTGAAATACTCTTTGAGTTTGTTTCTTAGTTTGTTTCTGTTGTAAAGAATAGATAATATTGTTTGAGTTTGTTTAGAAACAACTGGTGTATATCTTTCTGTTAGAGGCTGTTTAGATTGTTTTAAGATTGTGGATTGTTGCTCCTTGTATATCTGTTTTGTGTATTTATAAGACCTCAATTGAGGAAAGAAATTCAAGGAAGCAATTTTTCCTGTATCTGATAGTATCCTTTATCTGCTAGTATGTTGAGTATATTTTTTAACATATCGAGTCCGGATTAATATGAGTCAAGCACTGTTATAATATCAAATTTCAAATACTTGATTTCACAGTGGAAATTTTTTTAATCATAATGATGAAAATTAACTCAATTTATTACATTAAGTAGAAAAATGAAGTGACCAAAAAAGGTTAAAAGTTTGTCTTTTTAAATAATGTAATTTATCTTCTTTTAACAATTTATAAAAGGTAATACATAATTATAATATTAAAGTTATACTTTTTTACTCTTCACGTGAACAACAACCAGCTTACTTTCTTGCTAATAATCATAAAGCCATGGGCTGCCCCTTATACCTGTCAATTGATGACATGTTTGAAGCATGCCACGTGTTGAGATATATACCATGTTAATAACTTTGAGGTCACCACCCCAAAAGCTAGCTCAAAGGTGGGAGTGTTCAAGGCCTTATAAAGACCACATTAGTTGCCCACACAATCAATGTGGGACTATATATCTCAACACGCTCCCTCACGCAAGAGCCCTTTAGGCTAGAAACGTAGAAATTGCACAGGCCTATTTTTGGTTTACCTTTTTGTGCTTTTTTTTTATTTTAATTCCACTTTTTAAAGCGGGGGACAGTGAGGCTCTGATACCATGTTAATAACCTTAAGATCACCACCCCAAAAGCTAGCTCAAAGGGTGGGAGTGTTCAAGGCCTTATAAAGGCCATATTAGTTGCCCACACAATCAATGTGAGATTATATATCTCAACACCACTCGTGAACCAGGTCTCCAAAAGCACCAACATCAAAAAGTAAATCCCCATTTATTCAAGGGATTTGCAATTCATCGTGTAACATGATCAGAAAAAATTTCCAACACACAATATTTTGTGGGATTTGTATTTTTTGAAGCAAAAAAAATAAAAAATTACAGCATGCAAAACGAATTTCTATAACATAACACAATCACTTTTCTTACAACATAACTTTTATAAAACCCTTTATTCAGAGGACAAAACAAGTATCTCACAACCCTTTTTTTTCATTTATATTGAAAAGAAATTATTTGGCCAAAAAAAGAAAAGGAATTTTGGGATTTTTTGAAAGCATTGAACATTATTTATGCGGTTTAGCACTCAAAAATCCTGATATTGAACCATTACACATTCTCGTGAACTGCACTCTTGAAAATTCCCTTTAAGTGAAAAAAAAAATATACTCATGACTAGGGTGGTGACGCAGCTGAGTTATATGAAAAAGATACACTAGCACACTGGGACTGTATTGAGGGCCATAAATTTCTCACTGGTGTGTCCAAGCAGGAATAAAAGTCTTTAATTATGAATATTATTTCTATTTTTTATGGAAAAAAAGCTTCTCATGTTGCATGAGAAGTCTCCTCTCATACCACTCTCACTTCGATGTCCGTGCGAATCACTTTTCTATTTATTTTTTTTCCTTTAAGGTGGACCCCACCTCTTTCTCTTTCTATAGGAAAATTTGCATTTCTCGTGCAACATGATAAATTGCAAGCCCATTTTTTATTCATATAAATAATTGTAAGTTGTAAAAAAGCATTATATTTGTATTTTTATCTCATTTACAAAAAAATTTAAATCCATCATTAATTAAGTTATAAAGGAGGCTACGAGAAGGTAGGACTAAAATATTTTAGCTACATAAGGTTCCAAGTTTCTCTTTTGTCCAGCATGGTGCCGGAGGATTAGGATTTTATGGCCAACCCCATAAAATGAGAGTTTTTGGGAGTTTGTTTGGATCTCAGGTCCAGTGGTCCAACTCCAACCCCATATATGGGAATATGAGCGTCCAAAACAATAGTTTTATACTTTCTAATATTTAGGGTACATTTAATAGCGGAAAAGTAAAAAATGAAAATACTTCATACATGGCTGATATATAATACACATTGTTGATTAAAAATATTCTATTTCCTTGACCCGAAATTTTTTTCCCACCTTCTCTCTTTACTACCCTACCAATTATTTTTTTTCTTTTTCAATTTCTTACTTACGTAAGTGATTTGTATTGTCTTACACTATTTAAAGTCAATTAGATGAAGCCAAATAAAGAGATCAATTTTGGGATTAAAAAACTAAGGAAACTTTTGTTTGGTCTGAGTTGCCAATGTCTTGCCAACGCATTGGAGATATCGACATCTTGTATTGCAATTATTTATGATTCCCTTTCAGGGTATAAATGATGCTTGGACGCAAATAGGGGGCATTGGTTTTATAGCCAGCTACGGAGACGTTACTTATTCATAACTGTAAAGAACTTTGGGATACACCACCCCAAAAGTTAGCTCAAAGGGTGGGAGTGCCAAAGGCCTTATAAACTCCACATTAGTTGCACATACAACCAATGTGGGACTATATATCTCAACACGCCCCCTCACACGAGAGCCCATTGGGCTTGAAGAGTGAAAGATGCAACAGGCCCAGCCTACCTGTGCTAAGAAAAACCATAAGAGAAAGTGGGGGACGGTGAGGCTCTGATACCATGTAAAGAACCTTGGGATACACCACCCTAAAAGCTAGCTCTAGGGGTGAGAGTGTCCAAGGCCTTATAAAGGCCATATTAGTTGCTTATTCAATCAATATAGGACTATATATCTCAACACGCCCCCTCACGTAAGAGCCCTCTGGGCTAGAAGCGTGTAAATTGCGCAGGCCCATTTTTGGTTTACCTTTTTGTGCTTTTTTTTTATTTTAATTTCACTTTTTAAAGCGGGGGACGGTGAGGATTCAAGCTCTGATACCATGTAAAGAACTTTGGGATACACCACCCCAAAAGCTAGCTCAAAGGGTGGGAGTGCTCAAGGCCTTATAAACTCCACATTAGTTGCACATACAACCAATGTGGGACTATATATCTCAACAATAACCACAAGCATATGCACAAATGAGTTTTCAAAAAAAAAAAAAGCATATGCACAAATGACCTAGTTTCAGTTTTGGTGATATTGAAACTTCATTGTTTTGTAAATGACTTATCCAACAAAAGAAATGATGATATTATTTGAGTCTTAAAAATTAAAATACAATTTTCGCATCCTTATCCTCGAGTACGCATACAAAGATTATGTAAGTAACGTTATTACATGGGTGTCAAAGCATAATAAATGTGTATAATTTTAGGTAAGATTCAACTCACATTTTTGTGAAAAATTATATATCATTCTACACGTATTTGTTAAATGTCAACGATGGGGTAGATATTCTTAGGTGTAAGAGTTAGAAGTCTTACATTCAATCTTAATCATTGATCCACTTGTATC